TGATCCACTTCTGTCTGCTACGCTGATGTGCAAGTAAAACATAAGCTATTTTCTTAAGAAACTTTTCAGTACTGGAGTACATCCCATTCTCCCTAATGTTCATGTGCAATTTCCTTCCAATGAGGCAAGTGCAAATTATTGCACATTTATGTACTTTCTGAGCATCACACACACCCCGCACAAACATTCCTGCCATCTGAAATCCTACTCAAGAGAACAGATATCAAATGGTTTTGATATTTCTCAGCTAGGAGCTGCTAAATCCTGTTCACTCTGCTTCTTAATTAAGACTTGGTGATTCTTTTATTCTAATTGCCTTATAATTGCTAAAGCAATTAGTTTGACGTCAGTTTTGATTTGGCTGCATTCACTGCAGTTGACGATAAGACACTACAGCAGGGCTGTAGGTGGGCACACACCATCTGTGCCAATGGTGCACCCGCTTTATTTTCCGAGGGCAACTTTTTTTATGAACACAGGGAAGCTCCTTGGGCCTTCTGCTGGGGTTTAATGACTCCCTGCAATGCCCCTTCTGAGCACGCAGCATAAAACAGGCTCAGCAGCAGAGCTGTTGGTGCTGGAATGGAGGAAGGCACGGCTTCCAGAAAGCAGAGAAAGATGTGAAGTCATGGGGACGCGGAGAAGTTGAGGATCGTGAACAAAGTGGAGAAAGCATCAGAAGACATGAAGAAGAGTTAGTTTCTGAGACGAAGGCGGGAGTGTGAGATAAGAGGCAAGGGGATGACACTGACACCGAGACATCCCCAGGCTGCAGTACCTGCTTTCCCCATAAAAGTGACGTGAACTGTGGAGCGCTGCCAAGCTGACCCTACACAAGTGCCGACAAATCCTGATGATGGCCCTGCTACGAACAGGAACTCTGTTTATGTTGCATGTGCATGAGCACACAGCGGGGACAAACCCAAGGCTAAATTCAGCGCCGGGTTTTGGACCCTGCCCCGTCCCCCCGTGGGAAGCTCTGGCCCCGGCCGCGGCTCCGGCCACAGAGAGACGTGAGGGGGCTGCCAACGGCTACGTGGCTGCCTCCAAAAACATAAAAAAGCGCGACTCCTGCTGATATAGGACCTCTTTATGGCTTGAAACCAGCACAGGCTGCACGGGTCGGGGCTGACTGTGTGGCACCTTCCCGCACACGTAAAGCTGCACTGGAAAGGGCAGCCCGGGGAAGCGGAGGAGCGGGCGTTTTGGACTCCCCGCAGCGTGCATGAGCAGGATCAGCCCCAGGATTGGCCACACGGGAAATAACGACACCGCTCCGCCGGCGAGATCCTATTTCTGTTTGGCCTTTTGGCTTTCAGGCTCAGGAACTGTGGGATGTTATGGAAATCTGCAAAAGTGCTAATCAGACAGCAAATTTCAAAGAGGGGAAAGAAGGGCTGGCAGGCAGGGACTAGAGATAAAATGGCAAACTTGGAAACCTCAAGCATTGTTCAGAAAACTCATCTGGAAACAAATCAAAACTGTCTTTGGACTTGGCTAGTTAGGAGAAAGGAAGTTTAACTAGAAGAGATCAGTGCTGATTCAGGACAAAAAAATACTTAAAAAAACACAGTCTGGGGCCTTTTTTCCTCCTATTGTGAATGTATTTTAATGAGACTTCATTTTCATTTCTGGCTGAACTGTTATGGGCTCTTAAAGCTACCCAGGGCACCGAAATAACTTTGCAGTAATGGAAAGCACAGTTCAGGATGGCATTACTTGAACTGTTTCATGCACGATAAGCGTGGGAGGGCTTGGTTTTTATATGCTTGGGGGGAAAAAAAACAGTTTAGAGCACAGACTGGATTCACATGTTGCTGTCTTATTAACAAGGCTGACAAGTCATTAGAGATGTCCTCCCAGGAAGACGTTACAGCCTTTCCAAAATGTCTTGGTGAGGCTGGGGTGGGAAAAGCACAGAAAACAGCTGCTTATCCCAAGTACCTGCTAATTTTGGGATGATTATCTATTTGCATTCTGTGAAGAATCAAACCTCAGCTCCAGCCCACATGCAAAACTTTGGGAAGCTTGGACCCAGACCTAAAAGCTGGATTCCAGGACCTTAATTTTCCTTTAACTCCCAGTCCCCTGATCCTGTTAGGAGCCAGGCACAATGGTACCAAGGTAACTCATGGGGAAGGCCTTTTTCCCAGCATTTTCCACCAAAGCTATAGCAGAAAGTAGAGACAAGGACCATTTTATCTACGATTCTCACTCAGTTCGGCAGAAACAGAGGTCTGCACTGATTGTGCAAATGCTGCAAGTTTCCTCTGAATCCAGTCCCAAGCAGCAAGCCTCCGGCTAGTTCTTCATCATCTCTCCTGCACGCACCAAGCCAAACCTCCCCCTGTCAGAGTGGTGACTCCATTGCCTTCAGGTGCCCTCCACATGTTCAGACCACTAGTGACTGTGGCCTGCAACTCCTTCCCAGTTGAAGACAGCTTCTTCAAATCATTTTCCCCCAAAACACAAATGGACGGACTGTTAGGCAGAGCATTAATACGAAACAAATGTTTCGAGCATGTAGCTTTGACTTACAAGGGAAAATACAAGCACTTGGAATTTTTCCACTGCACAACGGCAGGGACCTTTGCAGCAGCTGTTTTAAATAGACAGTGTGATTAATGGGGATAATTCAGGAATGAAAACCAGACCCATCGTCACACGTCTGACAGACCAGTGCTACAGGCAGGCGGGCAGCCTTTTTTTTTAACCAAGAAATGCCGCTCTGAAGGCAACGGAGTTTGATCCAGAGGAACGCAAGGCACATGGGAGGCGTTTGACTATCGCTAGTTTTTAAATCACAGCCCTGAGTTGAAGCCAGCCTGTATGTAAGGAGGTGCCGTCTGTCTGACTGCAGGGGCTCCATGCTCATTTGCGCAGTGGGGAAGGTCCCAGCTCTGCCGGTCCGGACTGAGACCCCCCGTCCCTTTGCACAGCTGAGCTCCTGTCCGCCTGGGACAGTCAAAGGGCCGCTTCGGACATTTCTGTCTGATCAATTCTCTTCCTCCTCTGTATTTCAGCAGGCAGCACGGTTTCTCCGCTGATCAGGTCCCCTACCCTCACTGTGGAGCACATGTGATGTGAAAGTCTCTTGGAAATCATCTCTTTATTGCACTTTAGTATGGAAACCGTTTGCTTTTCAGAAATGGGAAATAGGCTGCGGTAGAAAGTGCCGTGATGGTCTTCACTGCCACGGCTTCAGGCTGAGCATGTGAAGCAAGGAGGGGACTGCAAACCCAGTGTGCAGCGTTAGCCCCTGTTGAGGACCCATCCACAGGCGGATGGAAATGCAGGTTCAGCTGGCGGCCTGTCAGCTCTGCGAAGGGCCACCACCCCCTGCAGACCCGCTCGCATCTGTACCCTGTCCTTCCTCCTCCCTCCGTGGGGCAGGCCAGGGCTGCACAGCAAGGGAAAGCCAGCCCACAGCTCTCCCCAGCATGGTCTGCACCGCCTCAGCTGCAGGATGGCCACCGGCCCTGCCACAGACCCTGGACAAGCCTGCAGTGATGGGCACCTCCCTACCAGGCGCCCCAGGGAAGGGCAGCGTGCCGGCACTCGGGAGTTCCTTGCCATTAATTAGCTATGTAACGTTCCCAAGACTTCAGGCCCGCGTGATTAAGACTCGACTTTCTTTCCTCTTCCCCCCCCTCCCCCCCCCGAAAAAGCCTTCTTGCACAATGTCCATTTTTAGCACAAACTGGAGTTGGATCAGATGCCTCACATGTGGTCTCCACTCTCTGAAAGGAGAGATCAGCACTTTTTTTCTCCAATGGTTTAACTACAGGCACAAAACCTGAAGATTCAATAAATTCACTAATTCACTGTTTTCTGCTCTTACAGGCTGGATAGTCGTGCTACATCGGCACAGCCATCCTCATTCGCTCCTGTAACTTTTCTTTCATTATACTGGCTAATTATGTGAGCTAAAATGAAAGATTATGAACTACAAAACCACAGGCTTTAGGACAAAAAGTGATCATCAGCTGGGATCAGAAGACATTATGATATGTATGGGGACAATACAGCATTGCTTCTGTGGCTATAGCAAACACTTTGGGAAAAGAGATTTTTCAAAGGCTTTTTCAAGGCTCTCCCCTGTGGGTATAATGGGGTGTCCTCCAATTAACTGCCATGGAATCAATTAAGTTATTGCTCAATTCTTCTGGGAAATTCCAACCAGAACTGGCAAACGTTGGAGATAAAGCAGTGAGCAGATGGACTGCTGATGTGCTCTGAGATGCCAAATATATTCCTTTTCATTACCCTCGGAAGACAGTCAGGCTTCTGGGACAGACATCCCACTTCTCCTGCTAAGATCTGTCTGGCCAGTGTGGAACCACGAGGATGCCTCCCGTGCGAGAAGCCCCACATACCAATGGGCATCAACACGGAGCAGCCCCCTGCCCCAGCACCACCATCCCTCCCGACAGCTGGGGCTCTCGCACTCAAGACAGACAACGCTGAACTGGCTGGCAACCATCAGTACGGCTGCGCGAGCTGGTCAGAGAAAACAACAAATAACTGGAATGGTTTCCAAAACCTCAAGCCATTCTGATTATTTTTTAACTCCCCTATGGCTCTCTTCTCAAGCATGGTGAAAACGTTAGTTTGTGCTCTGGCCTTAGGAAAGGCCTGCCGCGAAGTCTGATCTCACCAAATCCCCAGGCAGAAGCGGAGAAGCAACTGAACTTAAGGTTGCTTTTCCACACTCGAACCTTTCAATATACTGGAGTTTGTCAACCATTAGTGACCATTCAAGCGGCAATGCTGGCAGGTATTTAGGTCCTCAGCTGTCCCACGCATCCCTCATTACCGCTGCACACAGTGCTGAACTCGCACCCACAACAGCAGTGATCTGGTTCTCTTACTCTGAGATAGCTGTACATGCAGATGGACATCCAGTTGGTGAGCATCTTCTCCACCACAGATTCCGTTCTCCTCAGCATCAGCTTGGGGTTTTTGGAAGCTGAAGCATCTATTAGATCCACCAAGAGGTCCTTCATGATGCTGGTGTAATACTCCAGTTTCCCATGCAATGCAATAGTAAGCAGGGAGGCCAGGTTACATCTGAAACACAGAATTGTGTATGACTCAAGCACCAATCCAACAAGACTAAACTGCCAACTGGCATAAAAAAACTCCAAAACACAAAGGCAGTATTTCAGACAATTTTCATGAGCCTTCTCAATGGTGTTAAAACTTTAAATCCTCTTTCAGTGCTGCAGGACCTTGGGTCAGATCACACCCTCTTACTGGTAAATCTAGTGTTCAGGGATACAAACACTCACGAGTGAGTCACTCATTGTACCTTTTGGTGCTCTTCAGGATAACAGAGGTTTATGGCTGTCCATTTCTAATAGAAAAGTGGGAGGCAAGTGTAACTCAACCTTCAACTGAAATGCACGGCTCCAGACATGGGCTGGATTGCTCACAGGTTAGGAATAAATCAGTCTCCTCCAGCTCCCAGGTCTTTGGTTCTGAAGCTCATACCTGTCTCTAACAGCAAAGTCCTTCTGTTGCTCGAGAGCATGGACAAACACAATGAGAAAGTGCTTGTTGTTGAGTAAGGTGGAGAACAGCGAGATTCCTTCTTCCATATTGGGTCTGCAGTTTTCAGGGATCTAAAGAAAAATTTAGAAAGCAGAGTGAGAAAAACCCTCCTTGTTGTTTTCCTCCAGCTTTTATCCTTCCTGACTGCAAGAATGTCCCTGCTGTGAACGCGGAGGTACTGAGCTGAAGAACCCTTGCTCCCTCTGCTTGACACGAGTCAGCAGCATGCTTTCCTGGCAAGGGCATGACTGCATCCGGGGCTGTATCAGAAGCTGTATCCCCAGCGGGGCAGTGGCAGTGGCCATTCCTCTCTGTTCACCACTTGTGAGGCTACCTGGAGTACCGTGGGCAGTTTTGGGCTCCCTGCTACGAGATGGACGTTGGCAAACTGGAGCAAGTGTAAACCGGAGCCGGGGACAATCTCGGGACAGAGCTCCTTCGTGTGACAGCAGACCCACAGGTCTGCCTTCCCCGATCAGCCAAAGCTGATCCGATGCTGGTATGTGTTAATTGTTTTGAGTGATCAAGCATCTCCCACGCACCACAAGAAAACGCATGGCATTGTCAACACACACGAGTATGGTTAGCAACCACTCAAGAGCATTTGTTTTGTTAGTGGGTTACTCACTTTCCATTCCCCCACCAGGAGTGGATGAGTTTCTTGGACCTGGGAGCCCACCTGGGAGCTGAGCTGCTGGGACGGGAGGATGTAGCACTCCTCATAGAGCGAGGAACACTGCAACCAAGCACAGTGTTAGGGGAGGGTGGCTGCACCCGGCTTGGGACCTCCTCGTTTGCCGTGCACCACAAGAGAACAAGATGGAGAGACATGTCATCAGGACTGAAGACCACCCATTATGAAGAAATGCATTGGTATGGTTTACGAAGCCTTTAAACACTTTGCAAGAGCCTCTCGAATGAGCAAACACCACAAGAATGGGGGGAGGCAGATGTCTGCGCAGACACAAGGCTGTTAGGGTAGGGAGACTGCAAATAGACTAATTTGACAGCTAGAAAAATCCCAGAAGAGAAAGCATTATAGAAGACTAAGTCAAAATAGAGGAGTACTGGGTGTTTTAACATATGTAACTTTTGAAACAGATGGGAAAAACGTTTAGATCTCTAATATTCATATAGCAGCCTGATTCTTAAAGACTCTAGTGTGCAGATATATAGAGATTGGATAACTTAAAAACCTGAGTAATAACTACTAATGAAACACTCTGCAGTCATAAATCATCATCTCACTCCTCACCACTGAAACGCAACTGCCTCAGGGGTGAAATACAGCCGCTGTTAAGGGCGCACAGCAACACAGCGGAGCAGCTGGTGACGGGAATTACGGCACCGGCGTGTCTGGTGCGGCCCTGGAGGAGGACTCTGGGTAGACAGACTGGGACTGGGCGCCCAAGGGGCGTCTTACTGGGAGCACCATGTGCCCAGCCTTTGACAGAGAGGAGAGAAAGGGGGAGACAGAGACATCTAACAAGCTCCTGAGGACCGACAGAGCAGCTGGGGATGCTCGGTGGCATGCTGCGGGGAACAAAAAGCCTCCTCTCCCTGAATGCCGATGGCAGATATGCCCTTCAGCCACCCTTCAGCCTCAGCCTCTGCCAAACAGAGTGGGGTGACATTGGAGCCCCTGGGGAGAAGGGGGAGTCCCCAGCACTTTCTGCTCATGTGAAAGAGCGCTTTCAGAAGAGGGTGTCCAACGGCATCAAACGGGCGAGCCAGAGCAACTCCCAGGATGGTGCTGCCGCCGGGCTCCTATTGTGTGCGAGCAAGCCCGACCTTACTTCACACCCCAGGAGCTGCGGCTCCACTTTTGACAATAATTGAGGCTGAAATATGTGACAACTAAACATATAACAGTGGAATGATTTTGTTACACTGTAATAACCCTTTAGCAGAGGGAAAGCAGAGCCCTGATCTGGTTAGGAAGGAACTGGGAGCGATTAGATGCCCATGAAACGCGGTATTGCCTTACTTTGGGGAAGAACGTCCGGGTGACAAAGTGCTTGTACTCCAGGAATGGGATCCCCTGGCTGCGGTTTAACTCCTTGGTCAGGTCCGTCATGTCTGTCTGCAGTTCCGCAAAACCTTACACAAAGAGACCCACAGACGGTAAAAGCTCTGATACTCTACCAGCTGAGACAGTAAGCAGGCTGGCACTGAAAAACATGGCGTGTCTCATCTCTGCCTCCTCGAGCCTTTCCCTCAACTGGGCTGAGGTTGAGGTTCTTGAAGAGCAGCAGATTGCCATCAGGGTGTAACCATCAGCACTATACATCACGTCCCGCAGCACTGGCAGAGAGAACATTTCCCCTGCCTCCAGGAGAGCAGCCCCCAGTCTCGTTCTGCAGGAGGAGGACCTCAGCCTATGCTGCAGAGTCACGTACCACGGGGACGGCAGATGCAGACGCTGGGATTGCTTCTCCCATTGCTCTAGCAGGAGCGTGCTGCAGTTTTTGTTGCACCCAATCGTAAAGCACACTAAAGATTAGTGTGGCCTTCACGCAACCCTCTGACATGGCCAAGGGCCATTAACCCCGAGACAGGGAAACCAGTGGCACTGAAGATCAGTGGCTCGCCCAAGTCAGGCAGCAAGTCAGGCAGCAAGACAGCAGCAGAGCCACACTTCTAGCCACTGAGCCTCATTCACAAACCCTGCCGAAGCTCAAAGGCGGTGACAGAAATTCTCCTATAAATAATTCTATAAACTTCTACAGAGTAGAAGATGAACGGCTTCAACCCTGCTATTCCGTCTAGCATCTCCCTCCTAGTCCTGGCTCCTCCTCGATGCCCAGCACAGTGACTTACCTTTGCGGATTTCCTCCCGGATCTGCGACTCCATCTCCTCCATCTGGAGCAGGGTTTTCTGCCAGTAGCGCTCTGCTCTGCGGCTCTTTGTGCAAAACACAAAGAGAGCTGGAAAAGAGGAAGGGAACAAGCCTTTGGGACTAGGGCTTAGGAGCAGCTGCAGCTGGGATCAGAGCAGTCCTCTGCTGAAAAGGGTGCAGAAAGCTAAACTCGGTGTTGGTTTAACACCTACAACAAGACTGGTATCTGATCAGGCAGTTGTCGATCATCTGTAAATAAGTAAAACCAGCTGGAATTTAATGATCATGCTGTAACTGTCATCTTCAATTTAGGTCTGGGCTGTCTATATTCAGCTTAACTGTATATTAATGTATTCCAGCTGATTAATGAATACAGATTTAAAGACGATTACCACCTGTATTACAGTGTTCATGTCTGACAGTCTTCCCATGCCTCCAGAAATATGTTTCTAATGAAGGGTGGTGTGTTTAATAAATAGTGTGCATTATAACCTTTATCAAAAATAAATTAAATCCCTATTAGAAACACCTCATTTGCTGTGAACTGACAGGTTTCTTGCTGCACAGTCATTCTGGGCATGCGATGAGAAGATACCTAGCCAGAGGACACAGGTGTGTTGCACAGCTTCCAGTGAGGTTAGCAAACTGTTGTGTCTGCTCCAGATCTGCAGCTAAGGATGCTTGCTCTGTTCTTCATACTCTTTGCCAGGTGCCTGTCACTGGCTGTTACTGATGACAGGACCTCGGGCTAGGTGGACCTTTGGGGTAGTCTGGGACAGTCATGCCTGTGAGTAAGCCCTGTTCAAATCAGTAAGAGTCCAAGAGCAGTTTCTTACGCCCTTCTTTATTGTATTGTATTATAGTAGCTACTAAGTGTTTGGGGGAAAAGGGTAAGTTTATAAATATCACAGTAACAGAGTTGAACTACGGATTCAGCCAGCAAATGCTCCATGCTGCAGGAAGCTTTGATCCTGGGTACTGGCTTGGTCCCGTACAAAGAAAAGTGGCTACTTGCTGCACCCAGAGCAGTTTCAGATACTGCACAACTGCAGCACTCAGAGGTTTCCTAACGTGTGAGTGAGTCATCTTCACCCCTCCACCTGCAGTGAGAAAAAACCTTGGCACAGCCTGGAAACTCATCATTCTGTTCCCTTACCTACGACAGAGAGGACCAGCAAGATGCTGCAGATGACAATGGAGACGATGATTGCGGTCTCTCCTCCCCCAAGGTGCAGCATTGCAATTGTGTAGTTGAACTTTCCAACTTGGATCTAGAGAGGGAGAAGGAGGGAGGAAAAGCAGGAGCTGAGCAGCACGTTGCCAAGCAGCTCAGAGGTCGAGCAAGGAGGGAGTATGGAGCAGTGCTCAGCAGACCTTTGCCCAAGGATGTACTGACCACGCTGGCTCAGCCCACCAGGCTTCGTGGGGAGGCTGGGCTGTGCCTTTCACTGCTGGACCTCAGGGACTTTATGTGTCTCAGAAGAGCCCAATTCCCTTCCTGCATGCTCTGGCAGAAAGCTGAGGCCAGCTCACAGCAGGCTGCGGTACCTCAATGGTGCCCATCCTAGGGCCACCACAGGGCTTCGGTGGCAGAGTCGCAGGCTCCAGCCCACATCATGGCCACACCGAACCCACCTCAGAGCATGAGACAACCCTTTCTTAGAGAGCTCACTGTACCATATATTACTGCCTGTACTACTTTTACTAGAAAACCACTTCCACTAATCATCCGACTTTGTTATGCCTCTGAATGACCTTTGAATCCCAGCTGCACTCTCCTTTCTCCTCCAAAAGCAGAACTGCTGCCACTCAGGAGAAGGAGGGTAAAAAAACTTTAAAGTCTTTGAAATACAAATAAAGTAAGGGAATCAAAATAAATAATAATGAGACCAGAGACAAGTAATGATCTTGAGGCTAAAGCAGTGGACTGGGTGTCAGGAGGTGTTGGCTCTGCTCCCAACCCATACTTCTTGTGACACCAAGCACAAACCACTTGAGCTCAGTCCTTAGGTATCCTGATCACCAGAAGGGAAGAGGCCGACACACATCACAGGCAGGCTGGCAGGTTTACTTGGCGCTGTTTATAAACAGCTCTCTAGGCCCCTAGGATGAAAGGGTTCAACAGCATCATCTGATAAGGCAAACTCATGACCACGCCAAGTCTTTCACTTCTGGAAATGTGAGTTTCACTTCTCTCAAGGAATGAGAAGCGAGAGAAACTTGAGCAAAAAAACTGAAACGAGGTAGGGAAGAGATGGAATAATCTTATGATTACATCTATGTCACGGAGCACCTCCGGGAAAGTTGCACACTGTGGTTAAATTACAGTCAGCTCTCAGCAGCTGGGCCAAAGCAGTGCCACAGGCAGGGCCTTCCCACCATGTCCATGCATCAAACACAGCATAGCACACAGCTCAATGCCTGCCGGGAAATCCAAGCCCTTACTCTCAGGAGCGCTGGTGAGGGCACTGATGCTGCCAACTGAAGGCATCCGGACAGGCCTGGAGGTCTGCCCCTGCACTGCTCCCTCCACAGGCAAGAGAGGAAGGACTGCCCTGACATGGGCAACGCCGGTTGCCATCACCCGGGGTCAGGAAAACCTTCAGTGCCTCCGACCATCAGTGCTGGACCACATGGCCAGGCTCCTGTGGCTCCAAGCCCCAGTGTGCCCTTGTACCAGCCCTCAGACAGACTCTGGCACTGACAGTTTCTGGGGTGCTGCCTCTGGGCAGCATCCAACACTAAGAGCTTCAGTCTCCTACCCAGTGCATGCTGGCTGGGAGCCGAGATGCTGGATGGAGACAGGGAGCCACAAGCGCTGCGCAAGCATCTGCGGAGGTTCATTTGACAGTCTGCACAGCACCCTGCCTAGCCTCAAGATTTCCACCTCTTTGGTCTGAAATGCTGCAAAGTCCTCGATGCGTTTTAGGTCTTTTTTTTCCCACCAACTCAATCTTTTGCATTTTCCAGAGGAGAAATCCCATGCTTGCTGTTTAATTCAGTGTTTAAACAGTTTGATCATGAACAAAAATGGGTTTGAAGGCCTCGGCAAGCTTCTCTTGTTTATTTGGACAGGTCTACTCAATACAATTTTTTGTAGGGGAATTAATTAGGCTGCAGGTTAAATGGCAACATTTCCTGTCACCAGCACGTAGGGGGGGCAGAACGGGCCGGGGCTGGAGGACACCCCACTCCCGGGAAGAGCTGTTGGGGCTGGGCAGGACTCCTGGGTCACGGGGCCGCCTCGGGGGTCACTGGGAACCGCGCTCCGGCTTACAGGATGGAGCCGTCTTGCAGCCTCCCAGGGTGTGAATGGGATCCCCTTGGGACTAAACTACACCAAAATCAAGCTTCAGCTCACCTAAGGCACTCCCAAAAGAGCTACTCAAAAGTGACCCCCAAAACACAGGGAAGCTCAGGAGCCCCGTCTTCATCACCGGCTCCTTCTCTCTGCAGACAGCTCCTGCTGCCCTGTGCGATTTGCTAACATGGACCTGGCCCAAGAACACCTTCACAGAACAGGCATACCCAAAATCACAGTCAGAATTAAGATCAACAGTGGGACACATTTTAAAGGGCTGTTTTCCTGTGCTCTGATCACTGCAGATGTGAGCTCTACCATCTAAACAAGAACAAACTGGGCAGTCACCACAACAGGCATCTCAGCTCGCCAGAAGAGAGAATTTGCATCAGCAGGTGAGGCTTCTGCACCCCCCGATAGCTGTCCTTGATGCAGATCAGACAGGGATCACTGTGCAAGTCTGGCCCCATGTTACCAAAGCTATTACAAGTATGTTAGAAAGGCAGCTGTTGCCTATGAAATGGCCAGCAGGCAATAACTCAAACCACGTATGAGGGTTTAATAAGTGCACACAGACATGAATACAAGTTGATTATTTAGCTGCACTCTCCCTGCTGGTACACTCTTAATAGCTATGTGATACTTTAGGGCTGGGTATCATTCTCCTGCTTCCTAGGGACCTACTAGGGCATTACCCTGAATGTTTTATGTCAAACCAAGACTAGGAAACTCATAAACTCCTTTTCTTCCCCAAAGGGATTTCCCTGTTTCTCAGTTCTCACTAAAACCAAAATTATCCTATTTAAAATTTCCATTAAAATTACTTGGGAAATTCTGCTACTTCTGCATTTCCATGTTTCCAGTTTGCAACAGAATTTCATATACCACAGACTGTAACCAGTAAACTGGACAACCCTGTCAGTGAACTGGTGGTGCACCTTCGTGCCTTTCTTCTGGGCAGCACAAGTCCACAGCCTCCTCAACTCCCTTCACAGCCTTCCTCCTCCTCCCTGCCCACACCGCAGGCTCCCACCCATTCACTGTTAACACACGGACTGGGAGGGGGGCTGCAGGGTCTCAGACCATGGAGATGGAGGCATTTTCTCTCCAGATACAAGAGCCATAGTCACACCCCTGCACGGCAATGGGCTGCATATGACATGAGGGAAACTGAGGGCGAGAAGAGCAGTAAGTCAAGCCCTCTGTGGAAAAAAGGACAGGAACAAAGTATTTTGCAGAGACAAAGATGAACAACAGCCCTGAACACCAAACTCTTCGCAGTGACAAAATGGCAGCCCCTGGGAAGCAACAAGAAACTTTCCAGCCCTGCGTACTCCTCTTGCCCTCCCCGGTCACACACAGCGACCCATCTCCAGTGGCTTATTGGTGCTTGGTAAGAGTCGGATTCTCGTGTCCACTTGTAGCTCTTCTGCTGGCAGTAAGAGGCCAGCTGACTGAAAACTGTATGGAAATCCCCAAACATACCTCATGAGGGTCAGAAAGAAAATTACTGCAAGTGACAAAAACTCACATGCCTGGGATTTCACAGTGCCTTACAAGAACTGACAAAATCTCCCCCCCACCACCTTACAGCACAGTTAACTCAGCAGGCAGCTGCCGGTGCCCCACGATTCAGAGCGTGGCAGCCCCTCTCCATGACTCAGGGCAGCCTTAGCACTGACTACGCCTGCATCCTGCCAAGGAGCCGCCCTGGGGACAGCTGCAAGCGCAGTGTGCTTTGTCCACCCTTCTGTCTGTGCAGCTTTCTGCAAGGCTGCCTGTGAGTGTGCCTGGCAGGTCCTGCCCGTGCACACAGCTGACTCCTTCGCACGCAGGGTTTGCAACAGGGACCCCTTCTGCCCCACGCGCTCAAGAGCGTGGAGGCTCCTGGAACTCACCGTCACGGGTAACTGTCTTTCCGAGGTGCTCAGCGACTCGTTGACAGAACAGTGGATGACTTTGTCCGAAACAATCTGGATCTCACACGAGATAAGGCCAATTTTCACTTGGTACTCATTGCTTTCCAGGCCCAGGCTGTCAGGCTCTTTCTAATGACAAAAATAGAATCAGAATGTCAGTCTTTACGGTAGCAGTTGGAATTGCAACAGATTTTCCTGCTTTACTTTCCATATTCCCTGCTGTTTTTCAGACCTGGGGGGACTCTCCCTCACCAAGGACATTTTTCCAGCACTCCACAGGAAACCCAGAACCAGGCCATTCCCCATTTTCCTGTTTCCCATTCCTCACTCAGCATGGGGCACGGGATGAGCAAGCCCCTCGTGGAACCTGGAAAAATCTGCTTTTGATCTGCTCTGGCTGTGCACCGCAGATAAGGATCTAAGCGCCCACCTGGGAGGGGAGAAGGACGTACAACAGAGGAGATAGATAGCCAGGGGATGCGTCTGCAGAGCCTGAGAAAGGGGGAGTGCGTTTCTGAAGCACGTTGCAACCAGTGAGGATATCCTGCAGTGAACAATGGCCTTTGAATTACTATTGCACATTGTCCAAGCCACTCAATTGCTGTACCCCGACTTCCTTGTTAACTGAGCTGAATTCAGTAGCCAAAGGAGAAGAATGCATGACCTGTTTCTGCAGGAATAAATATCTATTGTCAGGACCTTCTGGACTACCTGCCTGATTTCAGGCCAGTGCATTATCATTCTTTTTCATACGTCCAGTATTTTATTTAGCTTCTTGCTATTACATCCTTCAAACGCAGCTCTCTGTCGTCATGCCTCAGAGGGCATCCTCAGGTCAGGCCGCATCTCCTGGCGAAGATTGATGCAGGTGCAGCAGGCTGAACAAGAACTGCCTGCTCCTGCACGGCTCCTGCCCCTCCCGTCCTCATCCACCCCCCTTCTTTCTCCTGCGTTTGTGGACAGTCACCGTGCTGGCACTTAGGACTGAAGAGCTTCCCAGTGGGGAGCAGGCAACACCCCCGAAGGAGCAGAGCCGTAAATGCCACTCTCTTACATGTATAACCAGAGTTAAGGGCTCGCCAGGATGGTGCTTGATCCACTTTTCCTTCTTGGCTGTGAAGAACTGGGGGTCAGCATAGTACTCCAGGCTGAACTTGCTGATGTGCAAGGCCTCCTCAGGGTACATCTCCTCATCCAGCGCCGGACGGTCATCTGCATAGAGGCGACCGTTGAGGTAGAAATCGACAGGTGCAGGCTTGCTCCCCGCAGTGATGTTGGAGGCAGCTGGAGAGGGGCAGGTGATCACAGTGTCGGTGTGAACCTTACAGCTCTGAAAGCCAGAGAGAGCATGCACATCAAGAAAACCGACATCCTGAGTGCTCCCACCCAGCCTTGCTCCCAGCCCAATCTGTAGCACAGGCAAAGGCCTCAGCTTCACACCCCAAACGTCTTCAGGCACCAGGCATGCAGCCCTGCTCCCAGTTACCAGGTGATACCCAGCGGGGACACCCACCGTTTGCTCTCTGCCGATGCCACGGACCACCATGGACACATTCTGGACGAGTTCAAAGCCTCTTCCTTCCAGGATGATGATCCTGCCCCCGCTTCAAGGAGAAGGGAAGAAAGAGAGAGTGATGGCAGAGGACAACACAGAGCAGCGAGGTGCAATGGCTGGGTGTCGCCTGCTGTCATTTTCCCAAGAACTTCTCCCAGCTGCTTGAGCAGAAAATGTAACCCAACAGCCAAAGTCTTCCTCCTACTTGCAGCAAGCACTCACACTTGCTACCAAGGTATCAGGGAAGGAAGGAGGAGCAGCAGCTGTTGTGGTGGAAAGGAGGGACCTCCTCCAGCAGCAGCAAACTGTCCCCCTTGCTCCCACCCCCCAGAGCAGCCTGCCTCTGCATGCCAGGGGTATGCAGCAGGTTGCCCAGGCCACCAGCGGTGTAAGAGGTTAACCTCCAACCCCTCAAAGCAAAAGCCAGGAGATATTCCCTGTCCCTACCCTGCAGCGACCTTCAGAGAACTGCGTCTTGGAGAGGGAAGAGACCCCTTTAAGGTTGACAGGGATCCTGCATCTCCCAGACACTTCTGATTTAGATCAAAATGTGAAAGTTGTTTTGTGTTTTGGATCTGCTGCCTGGGGGATGCAAAACACGGGCCTCTCAATGTGCAGTCAATTAACAATGGTAATGAGGGCCCTGATGCACACAAGGCTGCTAGGCAGAGCAAGGGGTGGAGAACCAGCACTGCTCGTCTGCTCTGGACAGTAGAAGATATATCCTGGGTTTACCTTCCCTTTCCTCCATATCACATTTGATCTGTTTGGAGTATCTGTCAGGAACAGTCAGGACTTACAAATCCTATTATCTTAAGACCGCTCCAGACACAGTGACTTTGGGTCCAAGGCCCTGCAAGTCAGCTTGTCCGAAATCTTTTACAACGCTGTAGGTATTACCATGTAGTTACGATCCAAGTTTCTAACTAAGAGCCTGTCACATCTGCAGACTAGTTCACAACTTCTGTTTTATTTTAAACTTCGCTTACACAGATTATTTTAGCAATATGGTAAGATAAATCAGATCCAGCTAAATTTTTACACAAGTTATTGAACCCTCATGGTCAACAGCCCAGCAATGCACTGGAGCAGTCAGGCTACACGAGCCACCAAGCAGTCTGAAGAGAGAGACTGCTATCATGTTGTCAATGGTCTGAGATTTGGAAACTGCTGTAAATACTAAGAAAGCAGACTAAGGTGACGGAGAAATACCCTGGTGGTTTCCCTTGTGAACGTGGGCAGTGACATTCTTCCACTGTCTCTGTGTTTAGATACCACTCTCGCCACTCAGCATAGTTCGCAAGCCTCCTAAGAGCTGAGGTTGGCTGAGTCACTGCTGTGCCTTGTCATTAACTTTCCCACAGCCTGCATCTTTGGCGCTGCGCTTGGGAATGCTGAGACACGGCTTTGCTCCAAGGGGATCAGACCAGCAGAGCCTGCTGCGGGCTCGTGCCCAAGTGTGCTGCTTTCAGCGTGGTCCTGCAGGCACAGGCGCTGGACTCTCAGATTTCTTGGTCAGCCCCGGGTTTTCCAGGCCTCACAGCCGAGGAAGGTGGGATTTCACCATGGTATCCAATGGAACAGGAGCCTGAGAGCTCCACGGAGAGACATGAAATTAAAAGCAACACGCTTTAAAAATGAAATACTGTGACCTCAGGGAAAGCTGAAATCCAAAATTACAAATGTCAGCTTATCCTCCAGCAGTTTTACTGCCAAGAAAAATCCTCAGGGTCTCATAGACACCCCCACCTGAACCTCCCTAAAGCACCCACCAGGTGTACACAGTACAGTTACCAAGGCTGACTTTTTTCCATGTCTTAAATGCACTGAAATGAGCTACGGACAGTCCTGGTGTGTGAGACCTCTTCTGCTACAGTGCTGGGGTACCCCGAGGCACCCTGAGAGCACTCTGCGGTGGCCCTTTCGTACCAGTCTGCAAGGCAATGTGTCAAACCCCAGGGCTGAGAAAGCCCCTTTCTCCCTGCAGGACCCTCTCCCACCAGCCTGGAGCCGACCCTCTCTTTTGCAGGCAGATGCAGACACGTGCCAGCTCTGAAATGGAAGTCATGATGTTACAACAGTGTGGCACAGGGCCCCGATACCATACGCTGCCTCCTGGCTGTGCTTCAGTGACTCCTGGGGCTCCTTGACATGGGGTTTGCTTAGGATCTATTCTGCGTCTGGATGGCTTTAAGTACAGACAGGGCGAGCTCACGTTGCCTGCAGTGGGCTACACCAGGATACTCCAATTAGCTCTGCGCTTTGATGGAAGAGCATTGTTCACTTTTCCATCCAGCAAAAATTAAGAGGCTGATCTCAACAAAGGCCACAAATCCTGGCAGACTTGGCTGTCTCTGCTGGGGGAGGGATCTCACCTGATCTGGCTCTTTTTGGGGTTGATGTCCGATATAATCGGGTTCTTCTCATACTTGAATGTGATGTTGTAGCTGGCACAAGACTTGTTCTCGAACTGGACACAGACTCGCACGGCCGTGGTGAGCTCCGCGGATGGCATGGTGCAGGTGATGGTGCTGTCGTTGCGGCTGCGCAGGGAAAGGCAGGGTAAGCTGCAGAAAGCCACAGCAGACAGAGCGGCCGGAGCCAGGTACTGTGGACCTGAGCTCCCCGGGGAAGTGAGGTGGTCAGCAGAGACAGGCAAGAAGGAGCTTCCAGTCACATGCCAATCACCTATTAATTACATTGCCTACTAACAAGCAATTGTGAGCATATACCATCCCAGGCTACCAGACTGATTTCCCAAACAGCCAAAGGAAAAGAGCAGGCTCCTACTTCTTTCCGCTGATGAGACGGGAATGTACAGGAGGAGGGGTTTCTTCCAACCAGCGAGCTGCCGCAGGAGTGGGACCCTGGGCGTGCAGGTGCCTTCTGCCTCCAGCAGATCTGGGAACGAAGCCCATGTCTGCTTCACTCCCAGGATTTTGGTCCTGGTCCCAGACCACCCAAGGGGCCTGGCAGTGTCCTGCGAACGGTGCGTGAGAAGCACTTCGTTTGCTGCTGGTTGCCGCCGCCACGTCACGGCAACACCAACGCCATCACTTTGCCAAAGAATCTCGCCCCATCCCAGTGTCAGGCACCTGCACTGCAGCTCTGCCTCACTCCTCACTACCTCTCTGCTCTGGGGATACCAGGCTGATGGGGTGCTGGAAATGGAGCAGGCAGCAGCTAAGTGGGCCAGTGGGGATGCTACGCTAGCTCCAAGGCTAGCAGCAGCATGCAGTGGTGCCCCCCACCCAAACCCCAGCTCTTCCTGATCTGCTGGGGGACAATATATCCTTCCTAATGCTTTGGCTCTTGTCACTAGTTCAGTGCCAGTCCCCAGTCCCAGTCCCACCTGAGGTCAGTGCACTGCTTGGAGGTATTGACGAGGACACGGAGCTCAGAGCCGACATCCAGCCTGCTGCCTCTGATGGTCACTCTGGTTCCTCCAGCCTTCGGGCCATTCAGGGGAGCTATGGACTGCACCACGGGAAGCTAAAAACAAAGGGGAAATCTGTTTTCTAGCCTGGCAAATTCACATTTGGATACTCCACACTGCATGTGGGAATTGGTTCAGTAAATTTAAGTATCCGGTATTGTGAGGCTCTGAAACAGCAGCACGACAAAAGCTTTTGCTGGCAGGGTTTCAGAACAAGGAGAGAGGTACAAGTGCTGAGGAGTGAGATCATATAAAACCTCTGTGACTCTCTGCAGTCCCTAAATTCTGGCAATAAATGAGACATAAGTCCAAACTGGAGCCCAGGATCCCACCAGTCCCTTGAGATTTCCAATGGATGGTCCAGAGCTGGCGACAGCTCAAGGTCCATCAGCAAAAGGAAATTTCTCATTCATTCCAGCTCCCACCACCTCTGTCCTTCCAGATCCCTTTCTTCCTGAACGCGAAGGTAATGCTAAAGCCCTGCTGGATGATGGCCTTGAGATCTGTGAGAACAGCCACCTGGGTCTAGATAATTGACTATCAAACTCCTTCTTAAGGAAGCTTCAAATCTGAATCTCTTGAGGCGACAGGAACTAAGGGGGAAGTTACTTTGCCTCTCGCCATTTTCAGAAGAAATTAGAATGTATGTTATCTGCATTTGCAGCCCCTGGAAATCTTCCTGAGATTCATGAGCTTGAGGCTTTGATAACTAAGGCAGTGCTGAACCCTCATGCCTGCTATGCAGAGCGCCCCAGGAGAGTCTGCTGGGCAACTTCCCTGCTCCGGTTTGAATAGGACACCAAGGGCAGAGCAAATAATTATTTCAAGAACCTTCCATAAGGCACTTGGTAATTCCTGGTCAAACACCGCAAACCCTGGAGGCATGAGATCTGCCAGGCTGGGGAGCACGTCTGAAGCCTGCTCACTGCCACAGCCTGTCCCTCGCTGCAGCCGCAGAGCAAAACTGACCGAGGCAGACTGAAGACCATGGGCTAAGCTGCTTCACACCGCATGGTGCAAATGCCCTTTCCTGTCAATCCCAGCCACACAAACATGCTTATTAATAGCTATCCTTGCCCTTGTCCTACTCTCAGACTGCTTTATTTCTCTACAGCCATTTCCTCTGTTGTTTCTGACCATTACCCACTTCCACAGGATTCATTTTCTTAATTTGTATTTCTCTGCATGTCTGCAGGCAGCTGTCTCCTGCCCTTGGCCCCTAACCTATGCATTCAAATCTGCAGTTACAACAGCATCAGAAAGGATTATTCATGTTCCCCAAAGACCTCCAGCTCTTCCCCTCAGCAAGAGCCAGTGGTTACTGCTCTCAGTGCATTGCCAGCACTGATTGCCGCCATCGCAACTTTTGCAAGTTCAGCTCATTTGGCAAATTCAGCTCATCCATAGCCTGCTATAATATCCTGGAGAACTCTCTCAATCACGTTTCTCCCTCCTCCTCAGCAGAATTACAGCTGAACACTGTCTCTTCTAGATACGTCTAACGAGGGCTTTGAAAGGTGTAGCACACAAACAATATTTGGTATTTTATAAAGCACTTTCATTGGAAGGGCAGTTCTAAAAGTATTTTAGACTTTTTCAGGTAAACTACTATCAATGCTCAAGCTCAGGTCTCACTGAGACCAGCCTTGAATGGTGTAGTCTACTCCATCTTCATGCCATTGTATGTGAGAGGAGAATCAAGAAAACAAAACGGCATTGCTTAGTTTGCAAATGGTGCAGAAGCCACTTTTGGTGTGGAACACAGCAGCAGCTACACATCGTGCAGCTTCAATCCCTGACACACATATGCACAGGGCAGGGCACTGTATCATCTCTTCTCCGAGCTTTGCTGAGATAGGCACAAGACAGCTTTCTGCTGTGCCACCCAAGCAGAAATCAGCTCCCCTCCTGCTCCTGGGAGGACAGCCTTTGCCATAAAACTGCTCAGGACCTGCCAGCACAGAGCTGTCACGGACCCAGTTTGAGTTCAGCGACTGGCTTTTGCTTGTCTTGCTTTGTTTAGTGCTGGTGCTTTTACAGGTGTTTCCTGAGAGGGCTTTTCCTTGCACACCGAAAGCTGGTGAAGAAGCTGCCCAGCCCTTTCCCACTCTTTGGGCCCTTCTCCTCTTTGTCAAGAAGACAATTGGCCCGGCAGTGGGCGATGTGGCCGAGACAGCACACACATCCTGATGGCAATGCACCAGAAATCCCAAACCCAAGGTCCGTTACTGGGTCGTACCCCAGCTGTACCTTGCTCCACTCCAGACTGCTGGACCTCCAAGACGTTTCGGATGTGAACACGGATGCCTGGAAATGATGGGAATGGGTCCCAGAGCAAACGTCCTCCTGGGAACTACCACTGAGGCAAGCCTGGCAGTGCCCTCACCTCACCGCTCCCCTCCTCATGCGCTGCCAGGCCTGGCTCTGCTACGGGGCACCGGGATGTGCTGTGCCTGCGCCGGCTGCACTCTGTGTAAACCTCTCTGAACTAAATACCTAGCACGTGATCAGTTACAGGGTGGGGGATTACACTCCAAGATCCTGCCCTAAATTCCTCACAATGGCTACCAGGAATCAAATGTCGTTTCCTGGGGCTCAAGTCTTCTTTCAAGCCACTAGACTGCAGCACAGTCTATTCTTCTCCAGCACAAGCACAAAGGCTCAGAGTAAACAGCATGCCCTTGGCACCCATCCTGTTGTGTTTGCCCCGGACACATGGGGTTGCCCGTGAATAGCGTCTAGCCAGAGATGAGGGTGCTTGTAGGAAAGAGAAGAGCTGCATGGATTTCTTTCAGGTTTATAGAGATGAAAGTTAACTTTGTGAGACAGTACAGTACAAAGCTATAAAGGGCTTTTCTTTATATAATGGCACAGGGTTAGCTCAAGTCTAATCCCTACACATTATTCTCATGCAAAAACTAAGACAATCTCTGCAGCAAAAAGTATCAGTTCTAAATAATGTGAGTCCATGGTACATAACTTACATAGCACAAAAAGACTTTGCAAGGTTCAAAAAATCTCACAGGTTGTAACAGCACTTTAGCAAAAGAGGAGGAAGAAAAATGAGCTCCTTTTTATAGCAGGAGAAATGATGATACAGCCAGGATAAGCGATAAACCACTGCAGGAGCTGAGACCGGGAGTGAGGTTGTGTGTGACGACACCTTGGCTGCAGTCCTGCCCCTCGCACTCAAGCCCGGATTTGCCAGACCTTGCTCAGGTAACCACAGGTGAGGAATCATGTCAGCTGCTCCTCAAGGACCCTGACGCTTTTTGTCATAGATCCTCTTTCTAAGCCAGCTAGGGGCACGGGGGCTGCAAGCTTGTTTTAAAGGGTGCAGGGAATGTCAGCGTGAGAATCACCAAAGAAACATCCAGGAGGCAGCTACTCACCACGTAAGAGTATCGCTCCCTGGACTTCCCTTCCCGGCTCACGTTAACTGTCACCACATCAGAAAACACCTCCTGAGCCTCTCCGGTCTGGCACACAATCCTGTGGAGAGGAAAGGGGAGGTTGGCGGTCGTGCCGCCCCACCAGAGCAGAGGGGCAGAGCCCACGGCCTCCGTGTCCTCCGCGCTCTAGCCGGCGCCTGCTGCAGGGGGGGGCCGGGCAGCATCAGCTGCCCCACGC